CCAAATGTCCACGTAACTCATGGATGATGGGTAAACAAAAAAGTGGTATATACGTACAAAAGAATATTATTTGGAAATAAAAGGGATGAAGTATTGATAGATGTGTAACATGGGTAAACCTTGAAATATTATGCTAAATGATAAAACCAGACATAAATAGTCCATATATTCCATGCTTCCATTTATGTAAAATGTCCAGAAAAGGCAAATCCATAGAGAAAGAGTAAATTAGTGGTTGCTATGAACTGGGTTTGAGGAGACTAGGGGAATGAATGACTGCTAATGGGTAGTAGATTTCTTTTTTGGGGTGATCATCATGTTCTGAAGTTATAAAGCAGTGATAGTTGCATAATTTTGTTAGAAACACTAAATTGTACTCCATGAAAGGTGAATTGTACATATGGCATGTGAATTGCATGTTCATTTTAAAAAGCAGGCAATCAGCAACAAAAACAAAACCAAGAAAGACTGAATAACGATACATATACCTCTGGATTCAATTTTTTCCTGATAATGTCACCTTCCACAGTAATACAAACATTGTATAAATATATTTTTTCTTTGGTTATACATTCATTTTCTGGATTTTTACTTTCAAATTCCAACTTCACCCATTCTAGTATGACTAATCATCCCAATTTTTCCAGGACGGTGCAGGGAATTGGATTCCCAAAACATGTGACTTGCAGTACTGAAACATGGATAGTTCCAGGAAAACTGGGACAAGTTTGTTTTTTCATGATCTTGCATAATTTACTTAATTCCTCTGCTCTTTGTTGCAATACAGATGATACCTTCTACACTGCCTTTTCCAGTTTTTCCTTCCAACTCTATATTTTCTCCCCATGCTATTTCATTTGTCCTGATGGCTTTTATTATAAAGCAACTACTTACAAATTAGCACATCTCATCTAACCCTCTCCTGAGTTTGAGATATGGAGAGCCAAATATCTTCTGGATGTTTCAAATGGAGATACCTTTGGCCATTAATACATAAATCTAATGCTAAATCTAAACTTGCTTTCATGCCTAAATTAACTCTCTTCTTGATTTTATCACATTCACTAAATCTCTTGAGATAAAGTGAGTTGTCTCCCCTCATTTTTGCTTTATTACTATATATAATGAATCACTATACTCTAATTATACCACCTGGGAAATTTTCTCAAATCTACCCTATCTCTTACCTCTCCTACTTATCCCTGTTAAGATCTAAGACTGATACTGATGAATAGACAAGAATCTCTCAGACTTTTTAAATCCAAAATCACTCTAAAAAAATCAAAAACCCATAATGGTATGTCAAATTTCAAAATACAGTATTAAAAATAAAACCTAAGACAAGGCACAATTAATTATATACTTTCTCCAAATTAGACAAACGTCCTGTTCTTCAGAGATTCTGATGCAGCACTTCCTACCTCCTGTCTTTCTCTCTCTTTCACATACATGCTCACACTCACCCCCACACACATGAACTTCTACCCACCCATATGACCACACAGCACACAAATACACATACACATGTTCTCAGGCTCCAACAATGAGAACATGTTTTAAATTACCCCAGCACAACCTGATGTTTTGGGACTCAGGACAATTGTTCTCTCCCAGAAGACTGTACTCCAAAACTGCCTACCTATCAAACTATTCTCCTTTCAAAACTCGTATTACCTACTGCAGGCTTGGTATATCCTTCCTTGACCCACATCAACCCCAAACAGAATAAATCATTTTTTAACATATTGCACTTTATTACTTTAAGTGATGACAACTTATGCAGCATGTCTAAAATATGACTAAGTGACATTTTAATAACAACTGAAAAAGAATCCTTGGATAGATTATATACACAGTTATCAAAAATATAAAGTTTATTGACATGTGTATTCATCAATCTAGACTTGCAAGTAGAATGTACCAAGTAACATAAGTATAGTTGCCCTACTTCCTGTCTACCTACCACTCTCTCTCTTTTTTCCACACCCACACAGTCAAGCCTTTTTAAAAGTCATATACAATCACTATTTCCTTTTCCTGACTTGTCATTTACTCCTCACAACTATCAAAATAGAGTATTTCCACCCACTTACATATTTAAACTGCTATGACAAATGCCACCAATGACTTCCAAATGGCCAGATCCTAAGGACATTTTTTATCTCTGAAGTTATTCATTGATTTTCTGCTGCATTTGATACTATTGGAGATACCTCTTGAGCCCCTCTATTACCTTGGCTTCTGGTTCTTCTATGTTTTAAATTATTATTTCTCAGCTGAGTCAGGGGATCCTTTTCTTTTGCCTATTCATTATGCATTGATTTTTACCTAGGACTCTATTATCTTTTTCTAACTATATATCTTTTAGTGATGTCATCTCCTGTCCCAGTTAACTGAGTGTTTCAGTTTCATATACCCAACTATTTCTTGGACCTGTACCCTAGGATAATGCACAGGTACCACAAAATCATTATATCAAAATGCAAACTCCTCACTGCTTACCTACCTAGACCTAGTTTGGTTCTTTAATTCCACTTTTTCTGTCAGGTCCTTAATTATCAAACAATTGATATGATAGTCTCCCTAAACTCTTTCCTTACAAATCATATTCAATGGACAATCAAGCACTGCCAATGTGAATCCTTACTCAGCTCCTGAAATGTTTCCTTCCTACACCCTCTGCTACTCCTATAAGACATTATCGTCTTTCTTTTGATTATTACAATAGTCTATTAATTGATTTGCTTGTCCCTAGTTTTGCCCACATCACATTCTTAGTCCATTTTCCCCACTTCTGTCAAAGTAATACATATTTTATATACCTACACACACACATATATAATGCAAATCTATGCTACCCTCCTAATTAAAAGCCATTAGGACATCCTTATAACTAAATATAGTGTTTATTAAATTTTATATTTTTACCTAGTTGTCATACACAGAAACTTAAATTCATCCCACAATATTAAGCTGGGATACATTCTTTCTTGGATTTTCTAATCTCTTACATTCCATTCAAAATTTAAAAAGCAAAAAAGTAGCCTTTATTGATATTCAGACCAACTCATGGTTTATAACTCACAAATCTAAAATTCTGATTAGCCAGCAATTTATTATTGCCTTTTTCTTATCAACCTAGAAAGGCACATATATGGATAAGGAGAGCTCAAATTACAAACACACTATATAGAGAATCAGCAAGATAAGGAAAGAATTGCAAACTTTAAATACTTGAATTCACCTAAAGAGAGGTTCACTATTTTAATGCAAAAAGTTTAGGTGAGCAAAGAAGTGGTCAGAATAGAGGCTCCAAAGGAACTACAACAGTTGCTTCCTCTAGGCCACTATACTCAGAGGGGCTACCAGGAAAGTTCCACTAGGTACAAGGTAAATTACAACATATTTCTACAACTCTTACGTCTATGGAATGTAAAAAATATAATAAAGAAAAGTGATCTAAAGTATTGTTGGGAAGGATGACAATTGCTGTTCTATATCTAATAACTCCAATTTAAAATGGACATTAGATCAAGTGGGACCAATTAAAATGGAACCTCAATATGTGGAATACAACATTTTAAAATCAATATTAATTCCCTAAAGAACTTTCCCAGAAATAGATTGAATCCTAATATAATCCTAATACAAAACAAAATGTCTTGCAATGCCTAGAACATAAGAAGTAGAGATGATAAATTTTCCATGAACTATGAAGGAAAGTTCAATTATCAGAAAAATGGCTTTAGAGCAAGAACATTTATAGAAAAAAAAATATGGCAACACCATTTAGAATACTTCTTCCAACTTTGTACTTTTGTCAATGTAATTAGAAGTCATTTTTTACTATGTGTAAATAAAAATTATTTTTATTCCTTGAAAAATACTGGTAAAATGTAGAAGATGATATTCAAGTATACTTAAAGTCTGAGATAAAATCTATAACTGATGTACTGAGCCTCTTGAAATGTATTTACCAAAATTTTGTTTTCTAAAACATAATTTTAAATGATTTGTGACTGACTGTAATATACAAAATATAAGGATTTAATGCCTTATTTAATTTTGGTCTTTGCCAATGCTAATAAAAACTTGTCATAGTAGAAGAATTATAAAAATTTACTTTTCTTCTCACATTTTACAATTTTATCACTTTATTTTGGTATACTTCAAAGAATTCTCAACTAAAAAAATCTATAGAAAATCACTCTTAAGACACATTTCTTCAGAGGTGTTTGATAAAACCCTTGGAAGGAGACATTTCCCAGTAGTAACTACTTGGCTGTAATGATTAAGCCGAGTATTGCTGCTACTGAGACATTTTAAGGGAATGTTTAATTTTTCTTATTAAGAGCATAGTTCTTGTCAGAAGATTGAATATATCCTGTACTCTGCAGAATTTTAAAGCTATTGACATTTTATCTCATCAAAATCCACATTCACAACTTGGAATTTACTTATTTGGTTTCTTTTCTACTTCTTGCTTCCCCGTTATGTTAATGTTTAACTCTTCACTAGTATCTACACTTGAGGTTGCAATAATAAAAATGAAACTAGATGGGCAATTCACTCTTTTCGATTGTCCATACCTTTAAATGATATGGTGAGGGTGGGTAATGGACTACCTCTGCACTTCTCTTACTTACACACCCCCCTCTCTTTACCTTGCCTTACCCTCAAGTCTTAGGCTGCAGCCCACGTACATTCCAAATCCATAAGGCACATAATTTCTGCCTCCCTAGAGCCCTAAAAATCTGTCCCTCTCCTCTAATTAGTTTTATGCTTCCAATATGGCATTAGAAACTTCATTTAACAAAGATACTTAATACAGAGCTCATGTTTCCAGATAATTTTATCTGATTAAATAGTAGCCTTTTTATTACACATACATGAGCAATCAGAGTATCTACTCCCACATGCAAAGTGAATTAATATATCTGTAATCAGTGATCTGTGTAAGAGACGACATTTTCAGTCCATAAAACTAATGCCATACTCACGGTGAAGGTTGGTGGGGCTGGTTTTCAGCATTTCTTGGTGTTTTGCAGGCAGCAGGCTTCGCCATGTCCCTGACAACACACCTGGGGTGCATGATAGACAGCACAACGCACTATTAATTATAAAAAGGGTAGAACATATCTAGAAATTAAACATGGTACTGAAAACACAGTCTAATGGAAAATCTTTGTAAGCCCCTTTGATCTTAACCTGGAGGCCCTGGAAAAGCCCTTAGAGTTGGATATTTTTGACTTACACTTCCAAGAGCTCAATTATACCCAAATAAAATCTGTTCTAGCTTTTTAATTTGATTTTCCTTTTAGCACCAATAAAATGATTGTCAGCAGTTTTCCCCATAGAAGAAATGCTACTGAAAGCTTTGGCTTCATCATGTGATAACATCTGAAAGTTTAAAAATACGAACAACTGTTGCACTGATATATTAAAAGATGGGCAGGATTTTCTGTGGCTTTGGCTATTTTACTAAAAGATATGGACTTATTTCATGCCATTCATTACCACACATGTTTTTTGCTTTATGCAAAAAGAGATCTAACAGGCCTGAAGACATTCTCCATGTTCAAAACCCCTTCAAGTTAAGAAAAGAGAAAGACTTAGAAGGAAATGTTCATATATAAGGTATTTGTGTGTGTGTTTGTATGTGTGTATATGTAAAATAAATAGAGAAAATACCTCCACCATGTGAAAAAAAATAGCAAAAGGATTTTGTGTCTTAAATCCCCCATTATAGGCTAACTAAATGCAGAGGATAGACAGTATAACAGAGCTCCAAAGGGCAGCAGAGGATACTCTTACCCTTGTGTTAACAGGGCATGCCGAGCATTGAAGAGATTCATTGGCAGAAATTAAAAAACACCCCCGCCTAAGGCTGTACTTGGATGGCTCAGATATGCCTTCATTTCAAGAGCTTTAAAAAATATTGCTTTGAATAGGGAAACCCTTGGTTACAAAGCTGAGACCCCACATCTTAGACTTTGTAACATGGAAAAGCCCCTTAGGACCCAGCATTCTCAAACATGAATCTGGTTCTTACAACTTCCATGGAGGCTTCTGGGATGTTCAACTACACTACTAATATTTAAAACCAGTCATGTTATTCCAGAAGTGGATCACTGGTGAGGCAGTGGCAGATATATTGTTTTCCCAGAGCTAAAAGCTGCATGGCAAAATTCTCCACTTCTGAAAGAAATGATACAAGGAAACATGGACACAACGCACAGAAACGTGCACACACACATACTGCTCATTCCAAACAAGGTCATCTAAGACTTAGAAATCAATATGTAATGTAACGAGAAAAGAAAATGGTATCATTTCAAAGACTTGATATACTTGGAGGATCAAAGTACATAAATGTAGCATTTGTCAAGAACTAATGTTAAACTCTTAATGGACTGGTCAAGAGATGGAAGTCAAAGACATCCACAGGAACACAAGGCCTTCTGTTCTTGTTTCATTTCATGGAAGGAGAAAGCCACTCAGGCAACAAGGGTTAAGTCAGTAACTAACAAGGCACTCATTAGAGCAAAATAATGTTCTGGGATTTCTGAGCTCTGAAATGTTGGTCTAACTTATCCAAAGTACAAGGAAGTTATATTTCATAGCACTGGAAAATCTTTAACAATTCCCACTCAACTAAAAATAGTACATTTAGCATATTAAATCTACATGCACTGGTTCGTTAAAATATTGGAAATATCACCAACTTTGGAAAACATTTTGAAGAATTATATCTATGGGAAACCATATGCAACCTTCTGTCTTAGTTTATTTCTTTTTTTCCCCTAAAGTTTCAGGAACTTATACACAGCTTTAAAATAAATCAGCCATTTTAATTACAGTTTTCCTTAGATATGCTTTTAAGTAACTCTTTTCTAATAAATGTGGATTATCAGCCAGCACCAAAGGTAGACTTCTAAGCAAACTGTTTCCCTAAGTGAAAGACTACGTCTATGTAAGAAAACTCTCATCTAATCTCAAGTGCCCAGTGCTTTTGGTGTAAAAGTACAACAGCTGACACACTGCTTCTGTCTGCACAAATATAGAATCTTTCAAATAAAAACTTTATTCGAGTTTCTGAACTTTATGTACTAGATAATGAAAACAGATACATCAATATTCAAAAAATGTAGTATTTACAATGAACTTAAGTATAATTTTTGGCATCTGGATGGCTCAGTCAGTTAAGTGTCTGACTTTGGCTCAGATGGTGATTCCAGGGTCCTCAGACTGAACCTCACAGCAGGCTCCCTGTAGGGAGCCTGCTTCTCCCTTTTCCCCTGCCCCTCTGCTCCTGCTCTCTCTCTCTCACTCGCACTTGCTCTTTCTCAAATTAACAAACAAAACCTTTAAAAAATAAATATAATTTGAGATGTACTTAATATACTTTAATTTTTAAAAAGCAGGTAACATTTTTCATACTAACATATATTCTGATTACAAGACTACAGTGATACATACAGCTGGCTACTGAATCTGTGTTTTCGGCGTAAAAACTATTTGTTTCGGATTCAACCAATTTGATGGGACTCTAAACTATGGTATATATATATTCCTACATTTTCTAATTTGACTTCTTTTTAGCTGAAATTTCTTCTAGATATAAGAAAGAAAAGATTTTTAAAAAAACCCCTACGCTCATATAGTTACATAAGATGTAAAAAATATATATAATACACTCAAGATTTGTGTTAGCTTGTGTTGATTAACATTTCTTTAAAATTATAATTGGATTGTGTTGTGTCTGGCATATTACATTTGGAGGGATAAGCTGTAATAGTTTTGACAGTTCTGATAAGCAGAAATTGTTCAGCACCAGTGCCTTCTATCATCTCCCATGCATTAAACTTGAATCACATAGACCCCTCATACTTAAGAAATACAGTATTTCAATATGTTGTAGCTATTGTAGCTATTAAGTGTCTTCCTCTACATATGATTCATTCCTTCAGCCAGACATAAGGAGGCCACAAACACTGCCAAAGTGCTGACTTCCCAGAATTACTATGGATCAAGAGACTAGCAGTTCAAGGGGTTTGACCTCTTATTTGCAACATCTTTAATTCCTCAAGGATTTATCAGATGTGGACTCTTAACAGTCTTCAAACTGCAAGTGAGCATCCTCTCATTACTCAAGCATTACTGCAGATTTATGCAAATGAGACATTCTGCAACCACCACAGGGGAACGCTCCTCCTGACTCCACCCTCAGCACTGCTGGGTTTTATGAATGACTGCAATCAATGCGATGAATGGCTGCCAACTGCCCACTCAACCACTTCTACTCTTCCGTGCACAGACACACAGGAGAAACTCAAACTGCCACAAGCCTGTCAATGAGGTTATGGTTAGACTTTCATCTTTCCAAGCAGGAACTAAATGTGTTTCCAGATACTTAGAGTATGTAAGTTAAAAATCCCAAATGCCTTCAAAAAACACAATTTACATAATTACTTTCTCTCTTTTGAGCTTCTATTTTGGATCCTATAATAACTACCCACTCCCCTTGACCCACCTGCAAAACACAAAACAAAACACTATTTTATGAAACTTTATCTCAATTTGAACTTTATCTAAATTGTTTTATCTTTCATGACTAATGTCAGGAAACTATATACTGTGCACTAAGCTGTCAAATAGATATGACATGTTTACATTTCTGTTCTCTGTCTCTTGATTTTTGAATTTTACTCCTATCATCAATGGAGATAAGTACATTCAAATAGTGTCTGGAGAAAAAGCGCATTTGTGCTTATTCCCCGAGTGTTATTGTACTAGTCTGCATTTGTCATAGGAAATTTTAGAGACAGTTAAAATAACCTAAGATTGAGAAAATGAAAAAAAATTTAAAATACACAATTTTCTAATTTGCAGATCACTAATTAAAAATATTAGAATGGCACTTGGGTGGCTCAGTTGGTTGAGCATTTGACTCTTGATTTTGGCTCAGGTCATGATCTCATGGTGATGGTGGTGAACTGAGCCCCACATAGGCTCTTTGCTCAGTTGAAGTCTGCTTAGAAATCTCTCCTTCTCCTTCTGCCCCACCTCTCACATGCTCTCTCTCTCTCACCCTCAAAAAAAAAAAAAAAAAAAAGAGAGAGAGAGATAGATAGAAAGAAACAAGGATTCCCCAGCAGCCATCTCCATCTTGGCTGATTGCAAATACATTTCTCTAGCTGTTCAGGCCAAAACCTTTAGACTTTTCTTCTTTTTTCTTACACTTGCATCCAATTCATAAAATGGTTCTACTTTCAAAATTTATCTAGAGTCTAATCCTTTTTTTACCTCCTCGATTATTGCCATCTTGTCTTGAGACATTATCACTATTTACTTGGATTTCCACAAGTAAAGGGTTGCCCAGCATTTACCCTTGCCTTCCCTCCTCTAGTCTAGTCTCAACTCAACAGCCAGACTCTTCTGAAAGATAAATCAGATCATGATTGCTGTGCTCAAAATTCTGCATAGTTCTCCAGTTTACTTATTTCACTCACAAATAAATTGCCAGAGTCTTCAAAATATAATCTGGCCTCCCATAACTCTAGAGTTCATCTCCTACTATTCTTTGTTCCCTACTCCCTCCTTCTTTGCTAATTCTGCTCCAGTCACCCTGGCTTCCTTTCTGGTTTTCCTCAAATAAACCAGCCCTAATTTTACTTTGGGTTCTTTTCATCAACCAACCTTTCCTTCTGTCTGGAATGTTCTTTCCTGATATTAGTTATGACTAACTCCTTTACTTCTTTTAAGGCTTTGCTTAGATGCCAATTTCTGAAAACTCCCATTCTGATTATTTTACTTACCACTATAATCTGCTTTCCCATAGCCACCATATTCCTATATGTTCGATGCCCTTTTAATTTGCTCTGCTACTTACTAAAGTTTCCTGCCTCCCACTGCTGAAGTATGAACTGCTCAACAGGAAGGATCTCAGTCTCTTTGGTTCACTAACACATATTCAAGAACCTAGAATAATGTCTGACATAATAGTCACTTAATACATATTTGTTAATGGATAAGATAAAAAGGACAAAAGCTGTGGGTTTCAAGCTTGAGTAATTTTAAC